GATTATCGCATTATGGTATGGAAGTTGCTTTGGAGTTGGCTGCGTTCACACAGTTGCTGACAGTGTTTTCCGACAGCCGTGCCTCTGTGTTATGTACTTTCTGAGTAAACACGCCACGAACCCCGATAGGCATTTCCACCGCGACTGACCGTCGTAGACTACGTTGATCGAAACGCCATCGCTCAGGCACGACTCAACAACCTAGAGGAAGATCTGAACATGTCAGGCACACAGTTCAACACAACTGTTTCCATGTAAGAAACTTCACTCCCCAATGAAGCATCTCAGAAAGCTTCCAGGTTAAAGTCGGAAGTCAGCTCTGGAGGGTGGCTATAAAGTGGCAAAGCTGACAGATGTGCAGTCTCTTCGTTGGTTACGTTTTGATGCAGATCCCCTCGAACATGTTGATCACTCGAATTCAACCCGGCATATACATGAGTGCGTGGATGTTGATCTGGGCTGTGGTGTCGGGATGCACAGCCCTCGTTCAGAACTATGGCGGCCTCGTGGCTTGCAGATTCTTCCTGGGTATCACTGAGGCTCCGGTAAGTCGTCGTTAAATAAACGAAAAGTGTGGCATGCAGGCTGACACACTCTTTCCAGTTCTACCCCGGCGCCACCTACATGCTCTCCATCTTCTACACTCGCAAAGGTGCGTCAGCCAAGACTCTAAGGCACTCCGGAGGCCACTCAACTGATACACATCGCAGAGGTTGCCACGCGCATTGCGGGACTTTATTGCGCTCAGATTTTAGCCACCGGGCTGTCAAGTTTGATCGCTGCTGGCATCTTCGCCGGCATGGATGGCCTCAACGGAATCGCAGGTTGGCGATGGCTTTTCATCGTTGAGGGTGCCATCACTGGCTTTGTTGCCCTTGTCGGCTTCTGGCTCCTGCCTAATACGCCTCTGACAACGCGCTGGCTCAACGATCGCGAGAAGCAGCTGGCTCACTCTCGGATGGAGAAGGATAAGATCTCTGATGCCTCAGACGAGAAGGCCTCTGCCATGGAAGGTCTTAAGCAAGCCTGTCGTGATAAGCGCACCTGGCTCTTCTGCCTCATGCAAAACTTCCACCTGTCGGCCTGCTCCTTCAACTCATTCTTTCCCACGTGAGTCTCCAACTTGTACTCAGCCATGAAGCGCACGTAAGCTAACGATTCTTCGACAGCGTCATCAAGACCCTTGGATTCAACACGACGATCACGCTAGTCATGACCTGCCCACCTTTCATCTTTGCCGGTGCTGCAGGAATCTTCTTCGGATGGAGCTCCGGTCGCCTCCATGAGCGGACATGGCATATTACCGTCGGCCTCGGGGTCGCCATTGTTGGCTTCGTTGTCGCTGCTTCCACTTTGAATACCGCAGCTCGTTACACAGCATCTTTCATTTTGGCTGCGGGCGCGTACTCTGTAAATTCAGGTAAGCAAATCACTTATCAGTACCGGTGCCTTGATTACTGACCTTGCCTAGTCATCATTGGTTGGGCTTCATCGACACTTTCACAGACTAAGGAGAAGAAGGCCGTTGTCCTCGCCATGACTAACGTTGGCGGCCAGGTATGTCCAGCTTTTTGTAACCTCCTATCTTGATTCGACACTGACTTAAATTTTCCAGATCGGCTACATCTACGGTGCATACCTCTGGCCCAAGAGCGACGAGCCTCGTTATGCTATTGGGTTCGGTGCCTCGGCGGGTTTCGCTTTGCTGTCGATCGTTTGCGCTTGGTGGATCCGCGTTCTACTGGTCAGAGAGAACAGAAGAATCAGAGCGTCTACATCGGAACACGTGAATCTCTACGGGTATTAGGGTCCGACTGTGGCGTCTTTGGTTAGTATTAGAGGTCTTGCAGGCATGTTGCTACATGGTAAGAACTTGAGTAGGCCAAGGCTGAGCGTTGATACCACGGGTGACGGATGTGCATATGGATGCACTATTAGTGACAATATAATATTTGAATCACAGGATGTGAACACACGACTTAATTTTGTGAAGAACTGTTCGTTGGTGTTGTTTGAGAGCTGGCTTATCTATATCTATGGTCTACACGACTCGAGTCTCGTATCTCATTCATCATCTCGCTGGTTACATGTACATCTGCCTGAAAGGCGTTTGCTCCGAACTGGCAAAGAAATTTGCTTTAAGCCAACAGCAATCCGATTGCAGTAGGCTGCTGCAGCAAAATGCTTGGGCCAGCAACAACAGTCTCCAACTTAGGTGCACCTGGTTCGTCTGCCAAGACGGTGATGATGACGCCCTTCTCCTCAAAGTCCGCTGGGATAGTGACATTCACCAAGTCTCCAGTCTTCCAGTTGGAAACGTCGATTGGCACACTGACGTTACCAACAGCGTGGAAGAATACCGCATAGTATGACTTGGTATCGTTGAACTTGGGTTGATCCGTCGGGCTGGTGAAGTTGAAGGAGACTTCGGCACCAGGAGCAATAGACTTAGTGCCTGAAGCAGCAGAAAGAGGCGGGAGATGTTGGTTGGGGTTTGGGTATTGAGGGTTCTCGGGAGGACAGCTTCCGGGAACAATAAAGACGTTGGTCATGTCCAAGATCTGGTTCGCATATGGAAAGACCGTGTCGCTTGGTCCCGAGAATGGGTTTGCGCCCCAAACGTCCGCCAATGACCACGTCTCATGTCTCGATTCTACAGTTGCTATGGCCACCATAGCCCCTCGCGCAGCCTCACTCTTAGGTTCTTGGACCAAACCAGTCAAGAACGCCATGCTCGCGACCTCAAGAAAGGTGGTCAATGCCAAGTAGCTGGTGGGGTCCTCGAACGGGTACTCGTATTTGCAAGCGCCTGGCTTTACGCTCTTATTCGAGATCTCGTTCTGGAAGATTCTCAAATGTCCTGCCTCGTTGTCGCGGATTTCCGCAATGCGGTCATATGTGGTGTTGAGGAAGCCGGCCTTGACAAAGGATGAGGTGTTGAAAGCCTCAACTCCTTGCTGGTAGAAGTTGAAGATCGCCCACTCAGCAGCTAAGAGATTCTGCCAAACCTGGTCGTCGGGGTCTGGGTCGCCTGACTCAGTGGGGAGGATCGGTGAAGTAATATTGCCTGGGAATGGAGCCGCTTTGCCACGGTAGTCGCTGTAGAGTCTTGACTGGCCCGGGATAGGACCGTATTTCGGGTCGGCCAGCTTCTGCGCTTCTGGGTCTGGAGTCGGGGCTGGTGACACCACGGTTGGCAGAGTTGCCAGCAATGAAGCGAATAGGACGTATGTCGACGGCGTGTGCATGTTTAGGATGATGAAAGAGTTTCACGGTTGAAAGTTGTGCTTGGATAGTTCTCGCTTGACAGAGCAATCTGTCGCCTTTATATCTTCATCAGCAATTTGAGCTATGTCAATGAGCGGGCACCATTCTTGAGAAAGCGTGATGGCTATCCGCAGGTAGTCAGAATGGCTTCGTTGAATAGACCCAATTAGGAAATTCTCTTCTAGACCACTGCCGATCACAAGCACTGCTGCGCAAAATGATCTTTCTGAAAAGATTCAGGGCCTTCTAGTATTATTCCCGGCACCAAAATGAAGTCATCAGTACGTATCCGCGTCTGTGGCGTCTTCGGCAGGATTCTGGTGGCGTCGTGAAATTCACCAAATCGGGCAAAATCGAACCCGCTAGCTTTCTTTTGCGCCCCGTAGTTTCTGCAAGTCGATTTCGCGGCTTTGAAGGCTTCATTCTACGGGAATAAGGTCCCTGCAAGGCTATGTCTAGACTACAGCAGTGCTTCTACTCAAGCCTTGCCTAGCGTGAGGCTTCTGCGTTGATCCCTTTCGTCAGCTCTTTAGTGCTCACTGAACGGCTTCTCGGCATCAATGATGTAACCCAACAGCATAGCGAAGGCCAGAATCAGGCGGTACATGCATTGCATCCGAGTAAATGACATGGAATCTACCCGTTCTACCAGCACTTTGTGCCAGCTGTGGCTAACCTCACAGAGCACCGCCACCCAAGAGGCAGTTGTTGATTTTAATCGGATCGGGAGGGATCTATATTATCACACCCTCAGATGAAGCATGGCGTATGGTTCCTTTACTTGGTTTGTCAGATGCGAGAGGACGATGGCTAGCTACGCCGCTGCTGCTACTGCTGTCCTTCAGAAGCGCCCTATCTGGCTCGGACCGAAGCTTTGAGGCGGTGAAGATGATGCATCATATTGACTCTCGATGCCACAAACCAATTGGACAATTATCAATCGAGTTCCATGGCCGATGGATATTGGCGGTGGAGAAGGAGACAACAAAGACCACCAATAACTTAGGGGTTATTGGTGATCGAGTCAAACAGCCCCGAGAACCTGGGCATGTGGGGAAGCGTCGCCGGTGTGTGTGTTCATCTCAATTGCCTTTTACAGCAAAAGGGATAACTTTCTTTGACAAAATCATACTCTCAAAGTTCAACTTCCCCTCATCACGGCTTGAGAGTCCGATATAAGTCGCGCACATTGCGTCCGATGAAGCACTCTGGACTACCTCGCTCTCGCTATGAGTCGGTCTCGCAATTTTCATAAGTTGCGCCTGCATCGTCCTACAATCCCAGTGGACTGGAATAGGAGGATGCTCCGCGGGTTACAAAACTTTTTTACGCAGGATTAACGATGCTATTGGTTCTTCTGACTCAGGAATCACAGGGATGGCAAGTAAAGAACCACTAGAGGGGGACACTCACCACACGCAACGCTTGCTATTACAACGTCACCTCCGGATAGAGTTTGAAGGAGGGCCGCCGTTACCCTTGCCGCCTCTTAGTGTCCGGTCTCCATCGTCAAGCTTTTCGGCCAGGGAGGCCGGCGGTATTGCCCGTGCGGAAGGGCGGGCGAACACTCCACAAAAGATCCGAGTGCCGATGCATGAAATAAAGAGTTCCATCGTCGGTCCGTTAAGTTGACGACTCGACAGCACCTAGTTTCTTCCTCTTGCATACGATCATATTCCAAGCATTTGCACTTGTTCTTGTTGGGAGAGCGCAGATGAAGTTGATCGCACAACATGAACGTAACAGTTGAGGACACTTCGTTGTTGCCTACGCTTGTGGCAAGATGGCCTCTGGTCTTTACAGCTCTCATCACCCTCATCCCTGTCATTGCCGCAAAATGGGGTTTCAAGAAGGATCGCCTGGGTCACATACCAAGCGTGGGAGCCGGTAGAACGAAAGAGCAACGAAGACAGGAATTCATGGCGCCAGGAGGAGCAAGAAGACTTTACAGAGAAGGATATGAAAAGGTAATAATATGATCGCGACTCTGAAAAGATCGCTCTTCTGACGAATATCTCAGTTCAAAGGTCGCGCATTCCAGATCATGACTGCAAGCGGTAGGCTATACCTCTTCTGTTTGTCTATGATGACCGACGTCAGCTTGAACCAAGCTAAACAAACAATTACAGAACTGCCAACCGTGGTCATCCCCCCAAAGTTCATCCCCGAGCTTAAGAAGCTGTCCGACACTGTCTTGGGGTTCCAGGAGGCCACCGACGAGGTAGGCGGCCTGCTCCATGCGAGATCGAGCCAAGCCCCTGACAGAACTTACGGTGTGTAGGCCATCAACAATCAGTATCTTGACATCCCGACCGACACAACGATGCTCGCACATACGGTCAAAGTCTCGCTTACGCCGGCGCTTGGTTAGTCCTACAACAATTGCTGGCATTTGTCTCGTGGTTTACTAACTTGAACTGAAAGCACGCCTTAGCCCAGCCATTGCTGCCGAAGTAACGCATGCCATTGACACAGAGCTCCCTCCGTGTAAGGACTGGACTGAGGTCCCTATCAACAACAAGCTGTTTAGAATCGTAGCGATGGCATCCGGGCGGGTCTTCGTCGGACCAGAACTCTGTCGTAATGAAGCCTACCTCGACACTGCTATCAACTACACTGTCGATATGGTCAACGCAGTTCTTGGAGTTATGGGTCTTCCAGCTTGGCGGCGGAGGTTCTCAAGTCGGAGGCTACCTGAAGTCAAGAAGCTGTTTCAGCGCTTCAAAGAAGCTGAAGACTTTCTAGGGCCAGTGGTCACAGCCCGACGAGATGCCATGGCGAAAGCGGACTACGAGAAGCCCGATGACATGTTGCAATGGTTGATTGATGCCCAGGACAAATCCAAGAACGGCTCACGCAACGATGCGGAGTTGGCAATTTGGCAACTAGGCGCCAGCTTTACTGCGATTCATACTACGACGGCGACAGCGACGAACGCGTGAGTCCCCCATAAAAACCTTGGTTGTGATTTCGACTGAATAGGTATCAAAAAAGATTGTACACACTAGCATCGATGCAAGACATCATCCCAGTCCTCCGAGAAGAGATTCAGGAAGCACTTGTAGGATCCGGTAACGAGTTCAACAACGCTGCGTTGCAGAACATGGTCAAGCTGGAGAGCTTTCTCACTGAATCGATGCGTACTTATCCCATGAGTGCTGGTATGACGTTCCCCGAAAACTCTTGGAATACTACACCTCTGACACAAGTATCAGCGAATGCTCAGCGCAAGGTTCTCCGACCTTTCACTCTTTCGAATGGCCAAACCATCCCAGCTGGTGTCCTCATTGAACTACCATCGGCTGCCGTCAATATGGACGACAATCTCTATCCGTCAAGCAGCCAGTTCGATGCCTTCCGATTCTCTAAGTTACGGCAAAGCAAGGTCAAAGCTACAGAAGACGGTACTGAAGTTGGTCACTTGTTCTCGAGCGTGGGACAAACGAGTTTGAACTTCGGGTTCGGCCGACACGTCTGCCCGGGTCGTTTCTTCGCGTCTGTCGAGATCAAGATGATCGTTGCGATAATTTTGTTGAACTTTGACATCTTGCTCGCGGAAGGCGAGACGGAGAGATACAAAAACATTGAGATTGGTGTTCAGGTAAGTTTTGTAGACCATTATATAAGGTCATCACAACGAGGCTGACTTCTCTAACTACCTGAAGTCCATGCCGGATCCCGCGAAGACAATTCGACTGAAACGACGCTCATGATATGTCACTGAAACCACACGATACCGATGGGCTCTGATTTCTGTCCCCTCTTCATCGAGCAACAGTTGTGGATGCTTGTTGCGCTACTTCAAGCGAAGGGCAGCAACGGGACTCTATATGATGGCGTGCTGAGCGAAAAGTTAGGAGTGAATGGTCAAAAGTATTTCTGACCGATTGGTCGTGCATCAAAAGTTTCAAGTCACTAGACCTCATAGATTGAGATTTAAATATAAGAAGGAGGCTGTGTAGAAGAACTAAGACATCCCAAACTGAGCCACAATGCACGGTCTGCCCCGCGCGCAAGTTCTGCACGCCCAAAAGCAACGGCCCATGTGATTTTTATGAAGTCATTGATGTGAGATTCATCAGACGAATGCCCTTCTTCATGAAGGATCTGAGAACTGGGTCTCTTCCAACAACCATCACGAGTATTCTGTCCACACCATCCTGCAAAATATACACCATGTCTTTGCCAATTCGAAATGTGGCCGTCATCGGCGTGAGTTTGGATGTTTAACATCGATAGCTTCATTGACTGACATGTATGCATAGGCAACCGGACTTCTGGGCTCAGAGATAGCGTCGGCGCTCCAGAAGGCTGGCTTCATAGTAACGGCTATTCGACGCGCCGAGTCCACCGCACCAGTCCCAGTAGGAATGGAGTCCATCCAAATTGACATCAACGACACCGACGCTCTCACCTCGGCTTTCCAGGGGCAAGATGCTGTCATCTCAGCCGCGCCAGATCCGATCTCATTCTCAAGCCAGAAGCACTGGATTGACGCCGCCATCGCGGCCGGGGTGAAGCGCATCTTTCCGTCCGAGTACAGCACCAACCTCGACTCGCCCCTAGCTGAGACACTTCCTGTAGTGACAGAGAAGGTTCGCACTCGGCGGTACCTCGTTGAGCAGATAGCCAAAACAGCTGGTAAATCAAGCTGGACGAGCATTAACAACGGTCCTTTCTTTGAGCTGGTCCTCGGCTTCGGAGGCTTGGGACCGGATTTCCGGACGAAGACGGCGAAGTGGCATAATGGCGGGGCGAACTTGGTCGGTACCACTAGATTGCCTGACATTGCCGAGACGGTCTGTAAGATTCTCAAAGACGATAATGGACTGTACGGCGAGGCTGAGAACAAGTCTGTTTATATCCACTCTGCGGTGGTCACTGAAAAGCAGTTGACAGAGATGGCCGAAAAAGTCACAGGTCAGAAGTTTCATGTCGAAGAGCGGGACGTGGAGCAAGTTTATCAGGAGGCGAAGGAGAGACAGCAGAAAGGTGACAAGTCTGGGATGATGCTGTTCTACCTGCAGATGATGTACGGGAAAGAGTATGGCGGCAGTGAAAGCTTTCAGGAGATGAGCTGGAATGAGAAAGTTGGGCTGAAGACATTGACTGAACGAGAGGTTGAGGATATTGTCAGGGGAGTTGCTGAAAAGTCCGGGCCATCTCAGTGATGAAATGTGTGTAAGTAGGATTTGGTACAAGATAAGGGATTCCATAACAACCACTCTGTGGCAAAGCTTTGAGCATCTCACTTCAGATAAACCGAATGGTCCTATTACTAATTTGGTAGCTATGTATTCTATTGTTTAACCATGTGTGTCTCGATAGACATCAGGACCGAGACGAAGGTGTGAGGGGTCGTCGAACTCGTTCCTCTCATTTCTTGCTTCCGGAATGGTGACCCCAACCACCTCCACCTTGACGACCGCCGCGGTTGGAGGCGTTTCCGGTATTGTCACTGTGACCACCGCGGGTGCCGGAGGCCTGGGCGCCGGTTCCAGTCGGGCCATTGGGACCAAGAGGCTGAGAGTCGGAGTAGATAGGAGGGTTGATGTCGTTGCTAGACATGGTGATCTCTGAAGTTACTGCGAGGCTTTCATAAAGGGTACTTGTGTAGTAGTGGTGGTGGGCTGAAGATATTGATACTGGAGTTACGTGGATGTGCATGATGAAGATTTCATAAGGCTGAGAATCCAGACTCAGCTGCTGCATTCTTATATACGACTTCGTTTCAGTAAGCGTGAATCATCATGTCGGTGGTGCATGTTGGTGGTTACACCTGGTTCTTGTGATGTTGGACAGTGACTGCAGGGACGGGTAGGCTGCATATTGAGAATGGGACTTTTGAGTATATTCACCAATCCTACTAGGCAGGTAGATTTCACCACTTATTCAGACTACGCGATAAGCCATTGTTCCCAGTAAAGTACTGAGGTCGATACAAGAGAAGTTAATATAGTCACCGAAATGAATCGCCCGTGTGCTGATTTTCAGTCTCTGATTACCGTCAATGTTTTGTCTTGAAACCGGGTTCTAGCATCATGACAGCGTAGCCCTGGTACGGTTAGATGTTGACGTGGCCTGCGTGAGCACCAATACTCATTGAAACATACAGCACTGCTGATGCATGCACTTGCCCTTATGCTCATGAGCTCAGCTCATGTTCACATTCACAGCCCATAATCGAGCGTCAGTTCAGCATGACCGGGGAAATGAGACGTGAGAATATGTTTGTTTTCAACTCCATGGAGATCTTAGGCCTGACGGACTGCATTTGCTTGCTAGAGCTGTTCATAACGCCAACGTTTAGTCACCAAGAAACAGGCCTGATCGACACGTATGAGACAAGTCATAAATGAGGGACTATGTTAACTGCGTAAGACTACATCCACGCTCATTCGAATAGCTGTCACATGTGTGGACGTAGTTGAGAAGATCAGGGTGATCTAAGTGACAGCGTGCCAATAATGTTGACCATCATAAGCTGTTGGATGTGTCAGAGCACTTATCCTCTACGATGACTTGATATCATACACCGACCCTAGTCTAGGCCAGTATCATCATAACGCCCCCTCTTCAATCTTCCAAAGACTGTAATCTTCCAAAGACTGTCTGAAGAAGCTTAAGCTTATCAGATTGCGTACCCTGGCCAGCACCTACGCTTAATATAATACAAAAAAGCTTCCCCATCTATCCACAAAGATCCGAGTCTCCCGGTAACAACATACTTGACAATAAGCATAACCCAAACCACGACCCACTCACCATACTTCTTAAACCGTGCCTGAGAAGCCAACGGTTTTCTCGCCCCCCGGTGCGGGCCGCAAATGGAAACACCTCTACTTTGCTCTGTTCAATCAACGTCTCCAGGCATCATTAGCTTCCAGGCACCTGCTACATATTCATGCCCCCCAAATTCAGGGTACAACATTTCACTCCAACGACGTAAACCGTTTCCCTCGCTCATAGGAACGCTTTCCCATATCCCCAAAGCGCGACCCGAGGCATCCGGGGAGGTGACTTACACATGACCCGTCACCTGATTCACACCGCACACACCTCCCCCTCCCGGAAAACCGTCTGAACATAGTCCCTCCACAGGAATACTTGCCCAAAGGAGCACGCCAAGTGTGCGGAGCACATCAAGCCAGGAAAACACCAGAAAAGTCACCCGTTCGGACGACTGGCCTTGGGGCTCTCTTCACATCCGGACAAGCGTCTTATTTCCGCCTTCCTTCACGGACGAGAAGGCGTTTGGGTGAGCTGTTAGCTCCGGATGGGGCCGCTGTGGGGTTTGCGATGTTGTTCTTCAACGGGCGCCCCAGTGCGCGGGTTGCATATTTTCTGCCTGCGGTATGGAGATGTAGATGTCGTGGTTGCAGCAGTCACGGGAGAGATAGCAGAGCGTAGTATTACTGATAAGTCGAAGCTCCGAGGAACTGCACGAGGGGATGCGCCGCATGTGACATTGAGGCGTTGCTTTCGCAGTGGCATCTGCCAGCCGACCCCGACTTCAAACATTGCGGAAACTTTGGGCCGCTGCGTGTGCCGCTGGACAGGGCCGTGCCTGTGCCTGTGCTGCTGCAGCGCTGCAGTAAGCGCTGTGGTGGTGCCCTGCGTCCTCCGGTCTTGGTATGGAGGTGCGCTTGTCAAAGCCGGTTCAGCTTCGGCCGAAGGCTGACGGGATTGCGCCAGGTCCCTTTTCTCACGTCGGATGAAATCTGGCGCTATTCCGCATGGGGCAATATAGCTGGAAAGAGTAGTTTGCGTTTGCGTGGGCACTGCGGACCGGGTCATCATCGGGCTGGAGGCTTTGGGATCGGTGCTCTGGTGGACGATGGCCGTCCGGGTGATCACGGAGGTCGGAGAGATTTGAGCTGGCGACGTTGTTTTTGGGCAGGAATGGGAAGATCATTCTCGTCGTGGGTCGGGTCGATTCCGGAGTCCGACCAGGATTCAAAAGACCAGTTACAGTGACAGTTCATTGGAGCAGCCCGGAATTTCTCTTCTACTTCAGGGACAGTCTGCCCGGCCTGGGTTCGGAGGGGTTACGCACAGCACATGAAGAAAGCTCCGAGGCTGCTGCTGCTGCTACCTACTGATACATACTTCGTACTGCTGATCACTGGGAACGCTGAGAGGGAGGCCAGAGGACGGGTTCTTCAGGGCCGAGCAGCGCGTTGACGGCCAAGTATCCGATGGTTCACCAATGGACTGGCTTGATGGTGCCGGCTAGCTGGGCTTAGGGCGTTCTGGGCTCGGCTAGGCCCCTCTGGCAGGCGATTTACGAGTGGTGCGTGTGTTGGGACCATGTCTTTTACGGCGTCAAATGATGGTGGAGAGTGTGATTTCATTGATTTTTGCTTGAGAGGAGGCTTGGGACTTGGGTCCCCACAAAACCGCGTTCGAGTTCGGGTTCGTATTGCGGGGACGCGAGGACGGGCATCCCACCGTATGTATGGGGGGCATATATTAGGAGAAGCCCGTGCAATCTTAATAGTTCAGGAGAGCATGTTGCCGTTGGTTGCAGGTGCAAGACTGAAGTTTAGGTGAGCGTTATCATCAGCGTCGGTCTGTCAAAGCAACTCTGCGTCTCTATTTTGGATTCGAGGGTTATCAATCAGGGTTGCCTGCCGACGGGAGAGAATGATGTGAGACGGGTTGACGGGATCTCGGGGTGTTCTTTCGGCCAAAGTCTGAGGTAAGGGTGAGG